GGTGGAGATGGGGGACGGCGGAGGCCTGCCCCGGACTCGGCCCGAGTGGCCGAGGCCAGGGGAGGAGCCCGCGCCCAGCCGCCTGCGGTCGGAGTGAGTGTGGCCGCACGGACCTAGTTCAGGACCCGTCGCAGGCTAGATTTCCTTGCAGCCCTTCTCCCCAAGAGTGAGTGAGGTCAGTGAAAACCCGGCTCTGGAAGGAGCCGGCCGGGAGAGAATGCGGGAAAGCTCTGAGGATTTGCGAGGCTCCTCGCGCTTAGGATCCCCTTTCCTCTAGTTTACTTATTATAGAAATTGATAGTTTAATACGGCCTGAGATTTCTGGAAAAGCTCTCCGCCTTTTTTGTATAATTTGCTCTTATGAGTCACTGACTTTGTTTCTTTTTTCCTTTTGGCCTTTGCGTGCATCGATTACCCTTTCAAAGGGAGAGGAAAAGAAAAGGAATTAATATGAAATACTTCTAAGCAAAGAGTTGTATGAGTTATCCGTGGTGGATACGGTTTGCATCAGAACTGTTGTTTAATAATTAGTTTAATTGGCTGTTAAATAGCTTTTGCAGAAACGTCATAATAAAATTGTGTTTAAATAAAAGTGCTCCTTACACTATTCCGGAAAGTCAAGCCACTATTTCGTTTCATGATGTAAAATGCAAAGCAAATTTTAAATGATAAACAACTTGAAAATAAGTTTGTCTGCTTTTCAAAAAATATTTTCTTTTATATCTTAAACGGAATATTTTCTACCTATAAAAGTTTGTTATGGGGCTGGTACTAGTGCCTGTAATAGGTACAGCAGGCTTTTGTGTCAAAGATAATGTTAATTTCTTTTATGAAAATAGAGCGTTTGTCTGATTTGTGAAAATTAGTTTTAAAAGCCTTAGGTGGATGGAGATTCAGTTTTTTAAAAATTTAATTTCAGTATTTTAAAAAGACCTAATAAGTTTATCATGATTTACAAAGAGCATTGCTCTAAGTTAAACATTCAGTTTGATGTAATGGAACAGTTATTAATAGAAATGTGCTAAAAACTGTAACTTTTGAACTCAGTTGTTTGTCATGCACTTATACATTAATATCTCAGTCTTAAGACCCAAAACCTGTAAATGGTTTAAAAGTTTGAGAAATTTTTCTCATGTGGACATGGAACTTTAAGTTTTGGGGTTTGTTTGTTTGTTTTAGAGATGAGATTTTTTTAAATGACGTAAAGAAGTAATTTTAACATGTCATTTGAAATATTTGGCATACTGAATTTTTAAAACTCATTTAAGATTTTGAACATTCAGGTATTCTGTAGGTACAAGTCCATCTGATTAAACTTACTTATGTCACCTGTCAGAAATGTTTAGAGTAAATATTTGGCAAATTTACTTGACACAGTGAAGTGACCATGTATGCAAGTGTTAAAAAATAAGATTGTGTCATCAATTAAATCCTAACCATTTTGATAATACTCTTTATATGTTATTGCTTAAAGCTAAGAATGGAAGCCAGAGTACTAATAAAATTGCCCCTGGAGGAAATCACTATTTCTTTTTTCAACAACTTTAAAGGTTTTTTTTAAAAAATGTGTGTTGTAATATGCCTAAATTCATTCTGTATAGTATCATTGTATTATTAGCTCTCAACAGGAAACATAAAATTGAATGTTAAAAAGTATTTTCCAATTCAGATTTCAGATTTACTGATTTTAACCTATTGTTTACCTCTGGATGGCCCATTTTACCAAGCTGAAGAATTATTTATTTTTAGCTTGGATTTTCATGTTCATAAAGTTTTTACTGAAAATGCATATTAATGGCAGACTAATACTTTTTTGAATGTTTTACAGTTACAAGTACTATAGGGTAAAAATGCATAGAATTTATATTAGTAAGAGGGAATTTGTTGAATAAATAATTGGATGTGTTAGGATAGTTTTAAAGTTAATTTGTGACATTAGTGTGTGATCTTTTTAATTGCACTTCTTTAATTGCACTTGAAGGCTTCCATAATTCTGCTGAATTGAAATGAGAATAAGATCCAAATATTATGGTTTATTTTCTGTAAGTTACTATTTTCTCTAGAAAATTTGATTCTTTGCTTTGGGTAAGGATTGCTTGCTTTATCCCCAAACTGTATTCATAAATTTATATGGTCAACTATAGATCTCTTTGAGGACTGTAAAACTATAGTAATAATTTATTTCTATATATAATTTAAGCTGTTGTCTAACAGAGTCTTTATAGGCATTAAGTAACACAAAATTAATGTGGTAACCTTAATGTAAAACCTTAGTTAAATTAATATAAACTAATCTTTGCCAGTGCAGCCTACACAAAACTACCTTTTTCTTTATACTTGTCTAATAAGGACTTTAAATGTTTCTGGTCTCATGTTCAAAGAGTGGTAAATTTCTATCATATATAGTACTCATTCAGTGTAGTGCCCTTTTTGGGTAACTTTGAATCTCTTTGGTTCTTTGTACAGTTATTCATCTTTTTGTTTTATTATAATTACAACTCATAAGATCTGTATTTGAACTAATTTAACACTTGTCTTTATTTTTTAGGAAACATGACTAATTTTTAAAAATGATTTCTGACGAAATAATATAGTAGTTAACTTGATCCTACTATGCAGTGTATATCCTTACAGTATGTCATAAACACATGTCCCTAGAAAAGTTTATAGTAGTTCACTTTTATTCACTCGAAAGACTAGGGATGGAGGCTGTCCCTCTAAAATTTTTGCTGATTTTGATACTAATTTTATATTTAGGGTTTTGGTAGTTCTCCATATATAATTTTATTCAAATAGGTCACACTTAGCTAACTTATAAGAAATTGTCATATAATGAACCCTCACAGTTACTAGAAAATACTATGTAGCAGAAGCTCTGGTCATTCCATCCAGTCTCTGGCCATTTATTTCACTATTGTAGAAAGGCATTTGTTTTTCAATTTCAGATTTCTGCAGCTAAATAATAGTTTAATTTTTATTTGAAGTAGATAAACATGTTGCCATTTATTCCTAGACTTCATAACGTGAATAATTTTGATTTTTAAATTTTTTAATTGGTTAAAGTTGAAAATAATAAAAATGTGATTCAGAAGACATCAGAGTAATGATATACTTCCGTTATGCATTTATGTATATATTTCACAGAATGTGTATATCAGAACTTTCGTAAATGTGCCTGCCCTGTCTGGTTAATGCTATGGCTGGAAGCAGTAGGATTCTGAATAGGGCAAGCCTTTCTTGGCCTCCATCAAAAGGTTTTCAGATATTGAAGTGTCAAAAAACCCTCATCTTTTTATCTTTCTCGGGTGGTTTCACCCCCAAGATGGTCCCATTACACAGACCCAAGAATAGAATTAGAATGAAATGTCATTCCACTTTTTAATGAAAATTGTACTTTTCTTGGGCTTTTAAAATGGTGACTAAATAGAGCATTTTAATGTATCATTAAAAACTTGATAACTTGGAGCTAAATAAGCATGTTACTCTTTAGAAATCTTTTTGTATGTGACAGTCCCATATATGTTCAGCTTAATCATGTAATTTTTGTGATGTTGCTGGTTTGCCCTTTTGAAGCTTAATTTCAGAGATGATGTGGTGAAAATTACAATCGATTGGAACAAGCTCCAGAGCCTCTCTGCATTCCAGCCTGCTTTACTCTTTAGTGCTCTTGAGCAACACATTTTATATTTACAGGTAAATTCTTGTTTAAAATGTTAACTTGATATAGGTATAGGTATTAATTGTAGTTAAATTATAAGCTACCATATTTGTCAGTTCTATTTTAATACTATATTAATAGTATTAGTAATAAAAGATTACTTCATCCAGATTTGATCCAAAACTGTCAATTTATATAGTGATCAGGAGAGTTATGGGAATATAGCCCAGTAGGCCGATGTGGGAATAAAGATTGAATGAATACAATTCTATTCAATTCCAGACTTGCACTGCAAATTCAATGCAGTTGCATCTATGGTGGGTTATAATTAAGCAATAAGACACGGCAGGTGTGTGTCATGCTATGATAATGATTCCATGCCTTGGGTGAGTTTGGAGGCTCATGGAGTGCTTTCAGTGGTTCAAGAAGTGGCATTATCCCAGCATGACACATCCTGGAGTGTCTATTGCAATTAAACAGTTTCAGCATAGTTTTTAAAAAGAAAGTAATTTCTGTGGCATTAATGACTCATCTTAGTGAGTATCCAGTCACTATTTTCTCTTTTTCTTAACAGTTTGAAATAATTCATGCTTTGTATTAGAAGTCAACATAAATTGTTTTTTATAATAGTATTGCTATGTTATATTGCTATAGTATATCAGCTCAGTAACTGAACAGTATTATGATCTTACTGGTTTTCAATTGAATTGGAAATTTATGTAAGTTTGTAGTTTATCTCTAATCAAAATATAAAATATGAAGTGTCGAAAAGGTAACTAGAACTGTTTGGATTGGTCAGTTAGCTGCTATTAAAATGTAAGGTTTTCAGAAGAGTATTTGGTATAGCAAACAATGGAAATAAAATTGTAGGTATGAAAAAATAATTGAAACATTGACAAGTGTTGGTGTGTTTTGATTAATGGAATGGATGTTAATTTTCAGCCCTCTGTTTAATGACTTCATGGGAAATTTTAACTCTGTTTTTTGTTAAAAGTAATAGTTAACCCTAGTTTTAAAGGGCAGAAGCAATGAGCTATAGAACTCAGCTGAGGCCTAATTGTGGTGGGAACATGAGTAGTGTAATTTACATTATACAACAGGGGTTTTTTTTCTCCTTCTAGTCTAGTGATAGGCTTCTGTCTCTTTTCAGCTATGGATCGTGGTAGTTTTTTTTTTCTCCTTTGTTCATTTTCTTTGTAAAAATTTGATTTCATGACCCAAGAAGATATCTTGCCATGTCAGGAAAAGCCTGAGTGTTCACTCAGCATTAACACCTATGTATTTCATGTCTGTGCTCTCTCATTCACTTTGGCCAACTGCGATTTCAAGTGGAGAATCTCCAGTGATATAGTGATAATGCAGGGCTTTGCTGAGTGAGAGCACTGGCTCTCATGTTAAGGAGGAAAAATACTAAGCCTAGTGTTCTGAGGAGGCATTTGAATGACATGTTAATTAAGTGGTATTGGTGCCAGAGGCTGAGGCTTTGATTTGGCACAAAATAAAAGATGAGTGACAGAATGATTCCCTCAAAGAAAATTTTAAATTTCCTCAGCTTTTCTTTCTCTCTCTTTTTTTTTTTTAAAAAAAACAACAGATTTATAGCAAATGATAATGGTCATAATAGCAGAGAACAGCAAACACTTATATGTAGTCAGATCTATGTATTCTGATATGCCAACTGTTTATATTTAGCTAATTGATATTAAATATTGCATTTATGTACCAGAAATTTATATGAATATGTTAAATGTATAATTAATTTATCAGTTTGAACCTCAGCAGATAGAATTGTGTTCTTCTCAGCCTTTTTTAGCAAAACTTCAGCCTCTAATTAAAGAGGAGAATACAACTGTTGCTGAAGAGATAGGAAAAGCAGAAACAGGGAACAAGAATGAAGTAGAGGCCACATTTCCCATTGGCAACCTACAGGAGGAAGAAAAGCACAAAGACTGTGATTTAGGAGATGTGAAAAAGGCACAGATCCATTTTGACCCAGAAGTAGTTCAAATAAAGGCTGGAAAAGCAGAAGTAAGAAGTTTTTTTTTGGGGGGGGAGTATTATTTTTAAAATACTGTTATGTTTGAATTGTTTAAACATGCATACTTATTGTTTGTAGATTGACAGACGAATATCTGCATTTATTGAAAGAAAACAAGCAGAAATCAATGAAAACAACGTCAGGGAATTTTGCAATGTTATTGATTGTAATCAAGGTAACTACCTAGAAGAATAATTTTCATAGAATTTTAAGAACAGTTTTTACAGTTACTCTGATCTTTCATTTGTTTTTAAAAATGAATAACATTAAGAATGCAATTTATTTCATGGTTTATTTAGAAATTAAGGCAGCAGAATTTCCTTCTGTTTAATAATAGACTATATTGCAAAATGGTTTCATTTACACAAAAGTCAAATAAATGCCAACATAATAAAAGGCTAATGTTTACCACAGGTGAAATGTTTTAAAGTTTTTTTAGGAAATGAAGTGTGGGTAACAGGGTTGCGCGGTCTCACTAGTAAGAAGGAACTAAGTTATATAAATTTCATGCTATAAATGTGCTTATGAAATTATGATGTGAACTTACATAAAGTGAACTTACTAAGTTAATACTCCTCAAGAGGGAGCAGTTTTCTCACTACTCCTGAGCTGTTAGAAATGTTTTGTGTCATGATAAAGCCAATTTGTCATGAAGACTATGGTGCTTATGCTTTTTCCTTTCTCTCAGAGTGCATACATTTGCTGTTTTCATCAGTTTCTCCTTTTCCTCCCCAGTTGATACTATAGAATATTTACAGATCTGCAGGTATGCTGCAGAATACAAAATATTGTAAAGCACTGGCATAGATTACTCAGGCATCATAGTAATAATCAGAACAAGTAGTCTTATCAAAATTATGGAAAAGAGTTCCTAATTGGAATGAGCATTTTTCTTGTTGCCTCTAATATCTCATGGCTAATTATTATGAACATAGAATTGTCAGATGAACCTAGAATTGACTCTTAGCACATTGGTACACTGATTCTCTTAAAGAAATAATACAGTCTCAAGTTGAGTCCTTAATGCAGCCTTTTCTACTACTGACGTTATATGTGCATATCACTAGGTTTGGTATATTTTCCTGTTAATTTTCAAAACAGGTGCAACAGTGGCAAAATCTCAGGTACTACAGTCCAACTGCAGGCAACCCATAAGAAAGGGTTTGTTGAGGGAGCAAGCACATGTGTCACTAATGTTATTCCTCTGCTCTCCCTGCTAACTCTATTATTATAAACCACCAGGGGATAAAAATTGACAAGAATTGAAATGCTCAGCAGGATTCCTTGGCCCATTCAATTCCTTGCTGGCTCAAAACAGTGCTAGCAAGAATTGCTGTGGAGAGTGACTAGCACTCATACATTCACTGTCTTCACACCATGCTGAATTTCTCTCTGATGCTCTGATGGGTCATTTAATCTATATATTTAGAATATAGCTCCGAAATGGATGATAGCTCCTTTTTTTAACCCTTAGCCCCATGAAATGGTAGAAAGGGACTAGAGAAGTGATGGCCTTTTAAACATATTTTGAGGTGTCTCAAAACAAAAACAAAAAAAGAAAGAGAAACTGTTTAGTATCTATATATAAAAGGTAAGTGAATTTCACGTTTTATTCACACAGTTTGATTTATCAGCAGAACTATTAAAACGTAGACTAAAAAAATACAAATGTATTATTGTAATGTGTTAGTGTGTTCCTTTTAATACTTCTCAGTTTGATTTAATTATATAAACAGTGGCTATTTTTTAAAAATCAAATTCCATGGGGAAAAATAATTTTCTTTCAGTATCTCTTTTACCATTCATTTTATTATAAAATAAAGGCATTTTTTCAGAGAGTGTACTACAATGGATGGTTTTACCTCATGTAATTTAAAACATTATTTTACAATTTTTGAACTATTTATTATGTTAACATTTTCCAATAGTCCCCCTCGGTTTTTTTATTTGTTGATATCTAATTTGAAAGAAACTACTATACGTTTCAGCTTAGGAAAAATGGGAACAAATTTTCACAAGGTATCTTCTAAAATCGCATTTTTTGAAAGGGGCAGTATGGAAAGAGGTAGGTGGCTTTTGTGATAGGGATTTTTTAAATGAGCATTGGAAATCTAGATAAAGTGGAAAAGTATGTGTTATACTTGAGGTTTCAAGGTCTTTTTTGTGTGGAGTTCTGAAATAAAAATGTGTTAGATGTACAATTAATCCTTTTCATTAGATGTTCACTAATTTGATCAGTAATAATATGAAAAAATGCTGTATCTTTTAAAAAGACATTTTAGTAAAACTAATGAGTTCTATTTATGTATTTTATTTATTTATTTATTTATTTATTTATTTATTTATTTATTTATTTATTTATTTATTTTAATACGTCTTTATTGATTTCAGAGAGAGGAAGGGAGAGAGGGGAGAGAGAGAGATAGAAACATCAATGATGAGAATGTACTGATCGGCTAACTCCTGCACACCCCCTACTGGGGATGGAGCCCACAACCTGGGCATGAGCCCTAACGGAATCAAACCACTATCTCCTGGATCATAGGTCGATGCTCAAACCCTGAGCTATGTCGGCTGGGCAGTTCTGTTTATTTTTATGTTGAAGTAAAGTGAATAATGCTTCTTTGGCTTAGAATTAAAATATTTTCTATACTATGTAAATTTTTTTCCTCCAGGGGCCCAGGTGGTTTTTAGGGATATTGGTATTCATTAAAAATTATATTATGCCACTGAATGTTGAGGAATTTCCTATGTGTAAATCTGAAAATTAGTTAAGATTAGATATTACAAATTTTAGAGGTCAAAGTTCACTAAATTTTATCTTGTATATGGTGGTAAATTACTATTTAAAATTATATTCTCTTATTATGAATAATATGTTAGTATGAATTATTGGAAGTTTGTCAAAGTCGCATACATTTGAAGTTAAAAGTATACTTATACTCACTTAAATTCTCCTTAGAAAATAGTTGTGCAAGAACTGATGCCGTTTTCACCCCATACCCCGGATTTAAAAGTCATGTAAAAGGTAAGTATCCACTACATGATATCTTTATCACTGACAGAAGCTTATTCTAGATTATAAACAAAATTGAATAGAAATCCCTTTCCTATCTAAATTTTGTTTATTTTAAACCAAAACAAAAGATCCTACCTTCATACTTGGGTTTGTGGTTAGATGGTCTTTATGAAAAATATATGTATAAAGTACTGTTAAGGAGAAAGAATCTCTCATTTTTTAAATGTAATTTTAATCTCAAAATTCCTTAACTTAGTTTCTAGAGTTGTGAATACATATGGACCACAGACTCGACCTGAAGGAATTCAAGGGTCAGGTCATAAACCAAGCAGCATGCTCCGAGATTGTGGTAATCAGGCTGTAGAAGAACGGCTACAAAATATTGAGGCTCACTTGCGGTTGCAGGCAGGTAAGCAGAGTGCTGGGTAATGCCCCAGAATGTACCTTTGCAAGTGGTTAAAGAAATTCCAGTTAACTTAGTCAGCAAATTTTCATTGAGTACCTGTCGTGTACAAAACATTGTTTTGGCCCTGGCCAGTGTGGCTCTGTTGGTTGAGTGCCATCCCATTAGATTCCCGGTCAGGGCATATGCCCGGGTTGCAGATTTGATCCCTGGTTGGGGTGTGTGCAGGAGGCAACTGATTGATGTCGATGTTTCTCTCCCTTTCCCTTTCTCTCTCTCTGAAATCAATAAAAACAATATTTAAAAAAAAACAAAAAATAAATAATTTTTCTGGTTGGTGCAAAAATGAAAAAAACCCAGTCTTTGCTCTCAAGGAATTTACAGTTCATGCATTTATGCTCTTCTTCCTCTTACACTTCTCACCAATTTGAGCGTGTTTGTAGAATGGGGATAGGTTCCAAATACATCCTGACACTCTCAGTTTATTAAAGTCAGAGATGAAAAGTAATGTAGTCTTTTTCCTACCACCACTTTCATAACTTAACCGTGACCACTCATTCTTACCACCCATTGTCCTAGTATTGTACAAAGTACAATACATTGCCCTTGTACAAAGTATTAATAAATGTGATCCTAGTGCTCAAGAAACTCTCAGTGAGGATTAGCATATAAATAAATAAATGCTGTAGAGAAAATGAACTAACATTTATTGAATTATACTAAGTGCCAGTTACTCTGAAAATATTATACATATGTCACCTCACTTAGTATTTAACAGTACTTTGTGAGGTGTTGGTGCTGTTATCGTCAGGTAAAGAAACTGAAGTTCAGAGAGCTCAAGCAACATGCCCAAGATAGTAAATGACAACTAGAAATCAAATCTAGATTGGCTGCAAAGCCTGAGTCTCCTTGTTTAGTCACCAGATCCTGTTGATTCTGTCTTCAAAATATCTCTCAAATCTGCCAACTTCTTTCTATCTCCACAGCTGCTACTCTAGTTGAAGTCACTGTGTTCTCTGTCTTAGACTGGTAGAAGGATGTTAACTGGTTGTTTTGCCACTGGACTTCCTCCTTGAGACCAGTTTTCTCCCCTGTGGCCCAATTGCTTTTTCTAAAACTCAAATCTGATCTTGCTACTCCCCAGCTAAAAGTTCTTTAATGGTTTCCTGTTGCCCATATATACATACCAAGCTTAGTATTTATTCATTCATTCCACAAACTGGTATTAAGTTCCTACTGGAAGCCAGGTACTGTTCTAGGCACTGAGAATACATGTGAACAAAAATTCTAGTATATAAATTAAATGCTACACTAGAAGAGAATGGCTATGGATAAAAGAGCTTGACCAAGAGAAGGGAAAGGAGATTCAGATGGGTGGGGGTAGTAATTTTAAATAGCATGATCTACACCTATATTTTCAGCCACATCTCTGTGCTTCCCACGCTTCCCATTTTGCTGTGCTGGGACCTTTACCCAGGCTTTTTATTCTACCCCTGCTTTTTCCTCCTGATCCCACACTCATGTAGATTACCCTTTATTATATAGTTTCATAGCACCTGGTACTCCCTGTCTCCTCTACTAGACAGTAAGATCTATGAGAGCAAACTGTCAGGTTCATTACTGTGTACTTAGTGCAGTGCCTGGCACAAAGCAGGTATTAAAGTGTTTGTTGCAGGGAAGATTGCTCATTTTACCTTTTTAGATATGTGCAAAGTACAGTGGGGCCACAAAGTTAGTGGTCAGCTCTCTCAGGGGAGATTGAAGAATGGTATCTCTGGTACAGTGACATTTGATCTCATGAAGGGTTAGTAGGAATTTTTCAGCCATCAGGAGCAAAAGATTCCAAAAAGGACAGCACCTGCAAAAAACAGAGGCACAAAATATGGTTCAGAGAATTTCTGAGTCCAGGCTAGCTGGCGTATTCGCTAGATGGAGGTAGAAGATAAGAGAATGTGTAAATCTTCCAGGGTAGTAGAGATTAGCATTAAATTTAATCCCCTCTCTCAGAACTAAATGGACATAAAATATAGCTATATAAAAGGATTGACTGGTTTATTAAGTCTAATAGTATCAAGTAGTTAATTTTGAAAAATATCTGTTGAATGCCTACTATATGCCAAGCACTACCTAGATAATGTAGTCCTAGTCTCTGGCTTTAAGGACTTTATGATCTGTCTGGGAGAAAGACAGATTAATTAATAGTGAAGCAGAATATTAAAGGGGCTGTGAAGGAAGGGTATGGTAGGCACACAAGGATTCACCATGTAAAGTGATTCAGGCTATGCTTGATTGAATCAGAGAAACTTGAACTGGCTCTTGAATGGTACAAGGGTGAGGCAGAGGAGATTCTAGATAAAGGGAGCAATAAGACCAAAGTCAGATGAATAAGTTATTCATTTTATCTTATTCAATAGCAAGAATAACTCAGATCCTAAGATAAAAACATGTTTCTAGAATTTTTATATTTAACAAGTTTATATTTTTGATATGAAATTTGCCCATATTCTTTAATTGTACAATGACTGTCTGGTCATTGAGCACCTGTGTAGTTTGTGAACTGACGCTTCTAGTTTTGTGCAGTGCACAAGCTGCATAGCTATACCCAATGAACAAAACAAAATTATGCCCTCTTGGAGGTTAGAGCAGAGAATTAAGCAATAAATAAAATATACAGAATGTTTGGTGGTAGTAATAGTTTGGAGAAAAATAAGGGAAATAGGATAGGGAGTACCAGGTAGGGGGAGTTGGTAGCACTGGTATTTTTAAAAGGGTAGTTAAGAGAAGGCCGTACAAATAAGGTCTTGAGCCAAGACCTGAAGTTGGTGAGAGCAAGCTTTGTGATTATGCAGGTAAAGGGAACCACAGGTGCTAAAACTGTGAGGGTACTTGGCCTAGTTGAATAACAGAAAAAAGGAATGAAGTGGCTGGAATGATGTGAGTATGGGGAAAATGTCCAAATTGTGTAGGACCTATAGACTATTGTAAAGGCTTTGGCTTTTAATCTGAGTAAGATGTGAAGGTATTGGGAGGTTTTGCGCAGAGAAGTGACACTATCTGACTTACATTTTAAAAGGATTACTGGCTGCTCTGTTGAGAATAGACTCTATGGGAGCAAGGCAGATACAAGTAGATCAGTTTGAACATCATGATGATTCAGGGAGAGACAGTGGTGGTCTGGACCAGAATAGTTGCTTTGGAGGTGCTGAGAAATGAAAGAGTTTGGGATAAAATAATAACCTTGAAATTTGAGTAACCTTAATTTACCATCCCCCACCCGAGAAAGTTTGTTAGTTAAGAAATATTGTAAAGCTCCTCTTCAATGTTGTTCTAAGTTAAAGGAGAAAATATAGCATGTAGGGAGAAATGTGAATTGAAGAAAATGATACAGGATATCACAACCACTACATTGAATTGTCAATTATAACTGCATTTTTTTCCTCCCAAGTAACAAAATCTATCAGAAATACAAATTGTTCTATACAGGTACTATTCAATATCTTGTAAAATGAATTTAACATAAAGCGAAACTCCTAGTGATATAGGAGGCATAAATGGGGCTTGGGGAGAGGTGTAGTATAACTATATCCCATAGTGTATAATATGAAAATGTGAGCTAAGGATTTTATTCTAATGTACTCTTGTTTGTTTCTTTTCTTAAGTTTAAATATTTCCCATTCTTACACATAAGTATCTTTGCATGGTATTTTAAGAATAAAAATTGTAAGAAGAATTGTTCAGTAGTATCTCAGAATGTTTTTAAATGTATTTAGGTGGTCCAGTGCCAAGAGACATTTATCAGAGAATTAAAAAACTTGAGGATAAAATCCTTGAATTGGAAGGCATCTCTCCTGAGTATTTTCAATCTGTAGTAAGTATAAGTATCTTTTAAAAATAACTAAATGTTACTTTATTCTAGGATTCTTCATTATATAACAGTTTACTCGCTGATCTACTATATGTGAAACACAAAAATTCAGAGATGAACATAGTTCTATGTAGGGGGTTACCTACTTCTTTAAAAACTGACTCCATATATTGTACTACAGACTCATAATTTTTTTTAAAAGGAATTCTTTTGTTGTATATTACCCAATTTGTCAAATTTAAGCCATTTTCATTACTTAACAAATCAGTATGGATAGTAGCATCCTGTCACTCTGAACTCGCTGTCTTATAAAACAAAGGCTTCTTCTGGGACCTTGCTGTGTCATTTATCCCTTCTGTCTCTTTAATCCCTCGCTCTTCACAGACTCCTTCCCTCAGCTCATATATGTTTACATTTCTCCCCCATACTAAACAAATCGGCACCTCGATCTGCCACCCTGCCTTTTTCTTTACTTTAGCCACCAGACCTTTTGAGACTAGATTGTCTAATTCCTCAACTCTGGCACTTATTTATTTACTCATTCATTCATTCTTATCTCTTTTCCAAGGACAATAAGAAACAGTGTGGTGCTGATAGGCATCTTCTTTGTCACGTTATCGTGTTCAGACAAATGATCCTGAGCTCATATTTTCCTCCATCTTCGGGGTGATTATCCACAACACCTGCCTTTTCTGAGATCTGGATGTTTTGTGTGTGTTTTTAAAGCTGTGGCATATTAGAAAAAACTAAAATAATGTAAAAGTGAACAAAAATTTTAAGTTTACTAAATTTTTAGTGATATTTCCTAAAACTTTCTGAAAAATTATGTATAATAGCTCACTCATATTAGCATGGATCATAAAGCCACTGGTGAAAATATATTTAAAATTGTTTTAGGTATAGCATCAATCTTTCCAAAGTCTTAAGTTGGGTATTAGAGTGAGGTACAGAAAAGAAGTATTTCCAGATAAAGAAGGCAGCTTACGCAGCAGAAATGAACAATGAATCTTAAAGATCAAAAGTTTAGAGTTTTAGTGATTTATTTCCCTCAAATTTAAAATGAGGTTTATTAAAGTACTAAGGGCTAAAGCAAGGATTAAATGAGATAATACCAGTCAAGCACTTTTCACCTACCTAGCACATGGTAAAACCTCAGTAAATATTAGCAGTTATTTTGTTTTCAGAAACTATCAATGAAGTGCCTGTATAAATATGGATAAGTCACACAATTCATCTTGCCTTCACTTGTCAATTTAAGAAGATTTGTAGGTTGTACTACATAATTACAAAGGTCTTTACACGTTTAGGATTAGTTTTTGGATGTATCTTTCTAGGAAATTTCATAAAGATTTTATGCTTCCTTTTCCTACAACAGTCTACCATAAGTTTCCCATTCTAGTTGCCTTCATTATGTGATCCCTAGGCATGTTATTCTTCTAGTTCAATTTCATACCTAGTTAATATAGTTCTTATGAACAATAGGCCTTATCTTACAAGAGAGTGCCAAAATATTAGATGCCTCCAATGAGACCTTATCCCATCACTTAGCTCTCCTTTCTGATTCTGATTTATAAACACTTAACATATAGTTATTACATAACTTGGTTAACAAAAGAAAAAATCCTTCAAATCATGATCTTGTTTTGGGGGAATTTGTTACACACAGGATAGAATGTTTAGGGTGTTTGGTTAAAGAGGTAGAAGTAGCCAGATTATAGAGGACCTTAAATGCTGTACCTAGAAGTTCAAAGTCTAAAGTTTAAATGCTGTTGAGGCATTTGAGCACAGAAGTGCCTTGTTCAAGTGTTATTTAGAAGATTTTTCTAATATTGTCCTGGGAGGTAAATGAAAAGGGAGAGACTAAAAGTAAGGAGACAGTATTATACTAGCTTAGATGTGAGGTCAGATCCTGAACTAAGGACATGAGAATGAGAATAGAAAAGATTATTCAGGAGACAGTAGGAAAGAAGAGTTGACAAATACTGATAATATGTGGAGAGACATAGAGCAAGAGTGACTCCAGTTTTGGTTGGTAAAATGATATCATTGATAGAAATAAGAAAATCTGGAGGGGGTGATATTTTGAGGGGAAATGTGAATTTAAACTCATAGCAGGATATACAGATAAAAACATCAGGTAGGACTGATGTAGGACTTACACTTGAGACAACTGGGAGTCTGTGTAGAGGTGATCATTAAAACAGAATGGGTAAGAACACTAAGACTGTCAGAGGCCTGAGCTCTGAAACTTGGTGACTACCTAACTTCAGGGCAGGAAGCATTATAAATGTAATCGATGTGATTAAAACTAGTGCTTTTAAAGGATATCCCCAAATCTATTAAACGATATATATTTGTTTAGAAGGGTCACTCCTGGATTAGTATTGGAAATGACATATCCAAATTAGTAGTGATCTATAAGGAAGCACAAACACTGAAAAGGTTTAAACATTCAGATTGACATTGTTCTCAAGGCCTGTGAATATATATGGCACAGGCCCCAGGCCCAAAGGGAAAAGAGATTTCATACTCACCCTTCCATACTAGAATGAATATGCCATCTCTAGGAGCTGCAGTCCTTGCTTGTAATAGAACCAGCTCTAGGATTGTCCTCACACATAAGAGTTGAGCACACACCCTGCAAAGAACATAGCACATAATTCATCACTCTCACCATCCTCATGCTGGGAGTACACACATGGCAATTGCATAATTTTACATGTCCCTCAAAAGTGTACAGAAAGACTACAAAGGCAGCACAGTCTTCTAGTTTCTAAAGTTAGAAAGCACGGGAAAATTGAGCTCAATAAACTTACTAAGGATTGAACTTTTGTTAGAAATTGAAATTCTAAACTCTGAGAAGATTTTAATTGACATGTGTTTATCCAGAGTCACATGTAGATGAATTCTAAACACAGGGAAGCCTCTTACTATTGGATAGTGATTATCATGGTAACATTGACGAGCAGCACATGACATTAACAGAAAAAAAAAAGATGTAAATTGTATTGGCTTTATGAAACAAAACTAGGCCATGTAAAGTTCTGTTCATTTATGAAACAGACATAAATCTCTAAAAAAAGTTAATGTCTATATCAAGCAGGAATTACCACAAAGATTAGTTTTTGTTGCACCTTTTAATGTGATCATTCTGAAGATCTTTATCCTTCACATTCAACATAGAAAGCCTTGAGTGTGGTAATGTTTTTAAAAATTTAAGGGCATTGCTTAACAGACCATCTAAAAGATACAATCCTTATGAGTATTTCCAAGAATTGCTTACTGATTTTAAATTATGACCCTTGAAAACAGTAAGTATAACATGCTTCACAAGTATATTTCCACACACTTTGTTCATTTGATAGCACTTATCACTTGTAATTACATGTTTATATATCTGTTTTTCACACTGTATTTTGAATCTCTGAAGGATAGGAACTGTCTTGTTCACCTTTTAACACACAGACTGTAGTATGCATTGAATAAATGTGAGAATGAATGGATAGGACTTGGCTGATAGTTAATTATTGAACTTTTGAAGGTGTGTTAGCTTTGTTCTAAAGCACTGACGAGATGGAATCTTAATTCCTTTCTTTAATGGGAACTCTCGGTCCTAAGGGAAGTGTAGGAAGAGGGGAGTTCTGAAGGCCAAGTCAACTTCATGCACATGGGCCGTGCATGGTGGCCGTGAAGCATGAAGTGAACAACTGGATCCAGCTGGAAATTAAATTGCAAACACATTTTGGAGGGCCTACAAGGTCGCAGTAACCAGTTTGCAATTACAGTATGACTGAGAAAAAGATACCTACAGTTTAGATTCTTATCTGGAGGCATGAAGTGTGAGTTGGAGAGAGATTGGATTCAAGGAAAGTGGTTTAGGAAACATCATTCACCACACCAGGGAGAAATGAAGGTCTGAATCAGCATGGTGGGACTAGAAGAGAAGGAACATTTAAGACAGTGCACCTGTAAAATCAGTCCTTAACAACTGATTACAAGTAAGGAAGGTGGGTTGATCGTAGAAGAGACCTCCTTAACACTGAGTTTCCTTAGAGCATGGGTTCCCTCAACCTGTGTGTGTGTGTGTAAGTATAAGTATAATCACCTTTTCATCAGGACATGGGCATTATAAATGTAGCTATAAATTACCTGCCAAGCTAAAATAATGGGAGAGAAGAGACATTTTTAAAATTATGGCTGTCTAGCTATTTATCTAGTGTGCTCTCAGATACTTCTCTCAGGTACCAAAACTTGTTAAAATTTCCACCTTGTTCCTTAAAAACAATAAATATTAAAGCTGGTCCAGTGTATCCACAGGAGATGTTTCTAAGTGTTCTACTCAGATCTGCTCAAATATTCTGCTCAGATCTAAGATAAGCCCCCAGAGACCACATTTTACTGTATTTAGGTCATTAAACCACTGATGTCCTTTTTTCCTCATTCTGATACTTTTCACTGTATTTTCATGATACAATGATTTGATTAATCAGTGACATGGAAACTAGCAATACTTTATAGATTAAGCTGTTAAGAAAATGAGGGGGAGTATATTTTCATCAGGTACATAAAAAGCCACCTCTTGGGAGGGTAAGAGACTAAGCAGTGACCAAATTAAAATATTAAGCCCTTAACTGCCCTTACTCCCCACCAGAGGTATTTAGCTCAATTTGACAAAGGAAGGAACATGTTTATATAAGCAGTTTCCCCCCTTGTTTAATAATTCTAACACTTGAATGATTTCCCACTTACAACTACTAGTAAGAGGCACACCTCAATATTCTTTGAAACAGCTTTTGACACAAAGGAAATGTGACTTTTCACCTCTTCAGAATCTCAGTGGTCAGAAATTTCAGAATCTCCTACATTGACAGTTTCTTTGTCAAATGTACTAATATATTCCTTTGCCTTTTGCAAGCTTGTAGTTCTCTGAAACCAAGAACAGTATCTTGACAGAATTCATTAGGTCAAGGTTTAAAATGCTCAGCAGCCTGTCACTGAGAATGTTGTCAGCCTCACATAATAGAAATTTTACTCATGGCTTAAACAGTATGGAAAGTATCTTATACAAGAGTAAGTTCAATGGAAGTGAAGTTCTCAGGATTAAAACATTTATTAGCTAAATCATGAATGTCAAAGAATTGGGCTCTTCCCCCTTTCAGTTCTGCTTAGCGTTGGCTTTTTCCTTAGGCAAGATGACTACACTACTTTCAGGTGTCATGTCAAGATGCAGCAGTTTCCAGAGGAACTGCCACCTTTGAGGGGTTTCTCTTAGAAGTAAGGAAGTTATTTGAGAAGCTCTCCCCATAATTCCTAGCAGATCTCTCCTTACTCATTGGCCAGAATTGGACACATTCCCATGCCCGTCACTGACAAGACCAATGGCGTGGGATCCATCCACATTCCCGAATTACAGGAGCAGTGGATAGGTGCTCACAGGGCCAGTGTCCCATTACAGTCAGTGTGTACGTGTGTGTTTTTCACCCCTTGGCCTGGTATTCTACATTCTGTTTTCCTCTGCCTATTGCTGCTTCCTTTGTTCAATACCCTGGGATGGAAAGATTATAAAAAAGGAAACTAAGAAAGTCCCCAGAGCACCTCTTTCCACAAACACTCAGCCTCATTAGAAGCTGAGAATTAATTGGAAAGTGTATAGACAGGGATGAGCATGTTGCTGTGATGTTACTACTATATACTTTCAATATCTTTGGAGGGTAACTTCCAAAATACAAGAAAGTGGGTGTTGATTGCAGGCAGATAGTGCTTGGTGAGTTTGTGGGCTTTGTTTCTGCGGAGTCGTCCATATTTTATTCAGTACTCTATAAAGGAAAATTATTGTTTAGATTTTCTAAGCATTGGTTACTTAATAGTTTTTTACTTTTAATCTAGAATTTTTCTGGCAAAAGAAGAAAAGTTCAACCACCTCAAGTAAGTTACTGCATTTTCATTTTAGCTTCTGAAATAGTTTGATTAGTTTTGTACCTTAATAAAAGTTTCTACTAGTTCCTTTTTAGGTCATACCTTGGGATTGAGAACTAAAAAAGGGCAGCATAAATTAATGTACTTGAATTAGAGAAATAATTTTATTTCAAGGGCGTAGGATGACTCAGATGGGCCTAGTAAATACAAAAGTCCTTATTCAGCTGTTAATAGTAGAAGGATATACAGTATTAGTTACAAAATGCTGAAAAATAAATGCCTAAGTAATTTAATCGCACCCCTTCCCCCTTTTGCAGACACCACTAAATAGCAGCATCTAAGAGTGGGGAACCCCATATAGGTCTGGCCCTGCCAAGGCAACCACAGGCGGGACTCGAAATTCACTAAATCTAGGAGCTTTCATAGCTAATTTTTAAGTTGATAATTTTGTATGGCCCAAGAATGTTTTTATAAATACCTAAATGGCCCCTGGCAGAAAAAAGGTTCCCTACCCCTGATAGAGGAATGTTTGTCAGTGGATGACTTCAGCCCTATCCACAGTAGATATATTAATTAGTATAATCATAATTAGAAAGGTTTTCAACCTTCAGTGGTGGTAAGGTAACTTTAAAGTTGGGGAAAACTGTAAAATTTTTTTTGGCTGGTTTATGTTTTTTAAGAGTAGCATGTTACTTATTTTTTTATTATAAAATTTTGAGTTGATTTTTGAGAGCATTCATTCTTTCCCAGGAGAGGTAGTTGGTTGCAGTTGATCCATAAAAAGAGAATTTCCAGGTATTTTAAGCACTTAAGCTAATCCTAAACTTTTATTTATTTATTTATTTTTTTACTATTGGTTAGCCAGTTTTTTAAAAAGTTTTTACAATCCTTTCAAAGTATAAAAGATCCGAGAGAGCTTTCATTAGGATAGAGAAAGAAAGAGAAGAAAGAGAGAGAGAGA